GACAGACAGACAGACAAACAAAAATTCATAGATTCGGCCTCTGCATTGAAGTTACAATTTTATTATATGTATAGACTAAAAAAGCATTAATTTGAAAGAAGAATTTACTATGCAAGTAGTACATTTATATACGACCTAAATATTTGCCGTGTTCTTTAACAAATCTTGAGCTTAGTACTTTACAGCACAGCATCTTAGAATTTGTTGAAAGTAAGATGAGGTTCACTTTACTTCATGAATACGTAAATATACATATGGAGTACATTAAAGTTTTCGCGCTTTATTTACGTACACTATATAGGTAACATTGCATATTTTACAAAGTTTAAACACTTAATACCTACATAAGGCTCTCTAAATTATTTCTATATACTAGCACGGTAATGTAATGCATACAGTACTCCAACTCGGGCCTGTCCTTGAAATAATTACCTATAGCCGAGCGGCACGTACCCACGCGACAGGGCTGCCCGCCGGCCAGTAGTTTAATTTCATCTACCTACTTGAGTTTCTTTCTAATTTTGTGATTTCGAATATTATATTTTTTATTTAAAACTATTATTAGTAGATTTAATTAAAAAATCTCAAATTTGTAAGGGTGGTATGTGACCCTTATAAATTTGAGATTTAATAATATTTGCGTCTCGAGTGAGACGTACGAAAAGTTTATTGTTAAATTTAATAGTATAAAGAATCCGCATTCGGATAAAAAGTTTAATTAAAAATACTTTAATTTTTAATTTAATTAATTAATTTTTATTTTTAAAACACGATGTCTCGATACTATTTTGTTTGACATGAGCGAAGTTACGGGAGGAATAACATTTTTATTTTTGTATCAAAATTATAAAAGTTACATAACATAACCACCTGATACAATTTTCGTATCCAATTATACGATGTGGCAGCCCCGCACGGTTGTCTACCGAGTGTATACCGAACGCGTCGCACGTAGGTATAACTCGATTTTCGACCGTTTGTATGAAGATGGAATACTGTATGTAATATTACCGTGATACTAGTGTTCGCTCAGTGATTCGATGGCCATCTTTTTTATTGATAACACTAAACAACAAAAAATAGGAATCGATTAACAAACAGAAGAGAAAAAAAACTGCACTGTTTTGTCTTTCCTTATTTACATATCGATACGATAATTTTAATATATATTGTAATTTTAACATAGTAAATGATGATGATGTTCTCCTGACCGATTCCGTCCACGGCGGCCAATCTCATTGAGACTAGCCAACTAACATAAATATAAATAATAAAATTTTGTATTATTAATGAAGAAATATTCATCTACTATATAATTTTATAAAAATAGATTAAGTAGTAGCTTTAGGTATGCTTGAAATAATGTAAATAAACTTCGATTTGTTTGAGTTTAGTTGGGTTAGTTCAGATTTTAAATAACTTCACACGCATTATTTACAAACATATACATACATATGTATGTATGAGATAGTAAGTTGAAAAATGATGAACATGATGACTCAAAAAAATTGTCTTGGTTTTTATATAAAGCAAAATTCTGACTACAACCAATAACCGTAGTCAATATAAATTTTGCTAAATAAAAAAGCTTTCAGTACAACATGATTTTGGAAAATAGATTTCTCTCATTGCCGCCTGAGGCAGCGGTCAATTTAGAAAAGATCCAGATCAAGATTAACCCAACTGGGGTTGAAGCGTAATACTAACTTTATGTCCATATTCTGAGAAAACAAACAGACAAACAAAACATTTGTTCCAATCTAGAACCTACAGGCCAACACAAATTGAACATTTAAAAACAAATGAATACAATATATGTTTAAAAGTGAGCTAAAAAGTTAGTGACAAAATTATTAAAGTTCCCATTTTTCCATCTCCTAAAAATACTTTTACAAGCAAAGGTGCTATTTTAGTGGCTACTTTAAAAGGTAAAGTTATTTTAAGCGAAAACCCCTGTTCCCGCACTATCGTGCTAGTGCAATTCTTTATTATTCCTTTAAACGTGTCAAAAGCGTCTATACAAAAATATACTCTACTTTTTATAAGTAACTACGTGATTTGGGCTTATAACCTTTTAATAGTGGTGAAAATATACATTTCATTATATTATTTGTAAATAATATCTATACATATAATAAAATTCTGAGTCAAATCTGTACATTAAATATTTTTTTGGTAAATCTTATTGAAATAGACATTATTATCATGAGACAATTATAGAGGCCGAATCTATAGATTTTAGAATTTTTGTCTGTCTGTCTGTTACCGCATCACGGTAAAACTATTGGAGGGATTTTGATGAAATTTGGTATAATGGTAGCTGGTTTTCCGGGTCAACATATAGCGTACTTTTTATCGCGAGAAAACATCTCATTTTTGAGAAAAAATACAAAAACTGCAATGTAAGTGTATAACTAATATGTAAAACCTAAGAATTTGGTGTTCGGTCATCTGAACGCGGGCGGAGCCGCGGACAATGCTAGTATATATTAATTTAATGGCGGGGATATAGCTGAGGCTTCTTTTTATATCAGTATCAAGACATTCCCATAGGATATCAGATAAAATGTTGTAACAATTTACTAGAGACACTAGATTTCCACGAGAAAGCCAATATTCACACTGTTACTATTTTATTGTAATGTTTTGTTTTATACTGTATTATTTTTATTGTTAAGAGATCAATAAAACACAATTTACGTGGTCAAGGATGGCAAATATGCATGTTAAAATATTGCTTATTAAATGTAAATAACTATGTAGTTAAGCAAGTAATATCAAAGTGGATAGTCTTATAGGGAGATGTAATTTTAGAGCTCGAACGGATTTTGCTTACAATGTGAGGCAAATGAATCTAATATATATGGAGATTAATATTGAGATTAATATTGTCACACGGTATAGTGTCTAGACTGTGAACTTCAGAGGGGCTGTGTACTACAGGTTTTACTCATAATTCTAGATCTGTGGTTGTTTGGTTCTAAATCTTAACATCGAAGAAATCTAATGCTAAACTAATATCTTTCCTCATAAATGGCGATCAATAAAATTTGGAAATAGATCACGCTAATGTTTGGTTCTCTAAATAAAATAAAAGTATTGTGCCAACTTTTTCATAACAATTTTATTATATACTCGTATATATAATTATTGTTCCTTGTTGGTCTAGCTTGTGGCAATGTTCATGGGTTCGACTCCAAGATTGGGCCATGGTAGCAGTCAACAGCTGTAAAGGTTTAAGTTGTACTATCTCCGTGCCTCGAAGAGCACGTTAAGCTGCGCAACCTGTTATCTCTCAAGGAGATTAGTACGCTATGTTTTATTTATTATTATATTTTATTATTATATATTGTTTAAAAAACACAATTGTGACAAGACCATTTTTTTAACTATCAGTATTTTTTTTACTTTTATAGTACTTATCTTTGATATAATAAAAGTACAAAAACACTTTAAAGTACAATGTTAACATAAAATCGCAAAGAGAAAAATAGTTTCACTAGCCGTTCGCTAATGACAGCGTTGCATGACACGCTGCGATGTGCATTAACTACGAGCCACCGCTTATTTACCATCAAGTACAGTCTTATTGAAACCTAACTTTATTTAACTAATTATTATCATTATCTATACTATAATAAAACAGTAGACGTGGAATGTCTGTACATAGAAAAAAAAATGCTAAAAACCGAGTCAGGGGGATGTAAGAAGACAAATAGAACAAATACAGATTTTTTTCAAATTTTTTGTTTCTCTGTCTGTTTGTCTGTTTGTTTGTTTGTACGGGCTAATCTCCGAATCAAAAAGGGCTAAATACATACTTAGATAAAAGTACTTTAATTTATTTTATTTACAAAATATCAAATATAAAACCTTGTTTTACATATTATTTTAAAATTCAAGACTTTTATACCAATATATTTCCGAGATTTAAAATTTCTGATAAGAATTCTTTTAATACGAAAGAGTATTACATTCGCGAGTAGTATAACAGGAAATGAAAGAAATTCATCTTAAAAATCTTCAAATATTTAGAAAGCTTTGCTTCAGAATACAGCATGAATATGAAATAGTATATAAAAATATACAAATTTATTATACGTAAATAATCTTTATGTACATTTGTGTGTAATAGTGAGATATATCGGGTATAATTTCGTCCACTAAAATTTATCCAAAATACATCTGACATCGAAATATGTTCAGCGGTTTAAGAGTACCTACTCGATGCCTATAAAATATACGTGGAGAAAGACTAATATGGTTAAATAAAACGGTTATGTGCAGGTATTTATATCACGATTACCAGTGTAGCAAGCAGTCAGTCACTCCTTTTACGTTAGGCCAGTTAAAACAGACGTTTTCTTTTTGGTCAACTTTGCATTAAATTTCCGATCCATTTTTTCTTATAAGGTTTAGGATCACTCACTGGGTATAAAATCACAAAATGCTGACAGATTCCGGTGGAGTTCAAGCGCCATCTTGAAAAAAAGTTTTTGGCCGATATCTCGGAAACTATGCACTTTAGGCCAAAAGTCATTGTGACTATTTTTGTAGAGAACAAAATTTCGCATCTTTCGTTCCCTCTAAAATTTTATTTGTAAAACTTGCCGTTTACGATTTATGGCCCATTAAATGAACTGGTTTTTCTATCTCGGCTGGTAACTCTTCATATATTGGTTTAGTCAATAAAATGCATCTATCCATTTTTAAAGATCTATTTATTCTCTACAACTTTTGTTTTAGACTTTTTTTTCTAATGTCCATACTTTTTGAGCTATATAATTATATATAAAAATATAAGTATCAAGATATAATAATATTATAATATCTACAAAATGCTATTTCAAGAATGTGAAATGTGTTCACCTGTATTAGTATAAATTGACGCCTTCGCTTCTATGAGCAACATATCCATATAACATAAAATATTTTTATTTTGTATCAAGCCGTTCATGTAATATCAGTATTTAGTATTAAAACTATATTTTCTTTAACAGGTACATATTCTTGGCGATCTATACGGCGGAGATGATAATCAAATGCATAGCAAAAGGCTTCATACTCAACAAGTACACTTACCTAAGGAACCCGTGGAACTGGCTAGACTTCGTTGTGATCACTTCAGGCTACGCTACTATCGGGATGGAGGTCGGCAACTTAGCTGGTTTGAGAACCTTTAGAGTGCTGAGGGCGTTAAAAACAGTATCAATTATGCCAGGTAATTAGATTTGTAATATGTTTAAATAGAGATTATTATAGATACAGAGGCCGAATCTATAGTTTTTAGAATTTTCGTCTGTCCGTCTGTCTGTCTGTTACCGCATCACAGAAAAACCACTGAAGGGACTTTGATGAAATTTGGTATGGTGATAGCTGGTCAACATATAGGATACTTACTTTTTACAGTGGGAAAATGTCTCATTTCTAAGTAAAAATACAAAAACTGCAATGTAAGAGTATACTAATATGTAAAACTTAAGAATTTGGCTTTTGGTCATCTGAACGCGGGCGGCAGTTGCTAATAAGTTATTCTAGGTATGGTAGGTCTATCTGGATACTAAATTAATCCAAATTCGTTCAGCCGTTCAGTGTAAAGGATTAACAAACATACATACACATACCAACTTTTGCATTTATAATAATAGTGTGATATCTATATTCTATACTAATATTATAAAGAGGCAGACTTTGTTCGTTTGTTTGTTTATTTGGACACTCTAATCTCAGGAACTACTAATCCATTTAGAAAAATTCTTTTTGCATTAGTTAGCCCGTTTATTGAGGAAGGCTATAGGCTATATATCATCCCGGAAAAATGTACGGTTCCCGTGGGAAAGATTTGTTTTTTTTCTAATCTTTGCTAATAATATGGCATCGCAAAGGACGTGCTACTTAGATGGTCTCGGGATCGATTCCTACTTAGTGTATGCATTTGTGTGAATAATTAAAGACCAAATACGAAACGCTCCAAGAGTGTTACAATAATTATATTTATGAGCTTCATCTCGTTTGTACTTTTCCTGTGAAGACATATAACATTCTTTATTATTTACTGGCGAAGTTTCTTCGCTTCCTTTCAGTCTTCACTACGTTTCAATTAGCGGTTCTTCAACAGACAAATTGCGGATGGTTGTTGAAGCTTAAGAAATATCATATCGTAGAGAAACATTCCCATTTCATATAAATAAATATAGGATACTAGCAACTCACCTCGCTTCGCTTCGGGTTTGTCCTTACTGAAAAACGAAAAAAAACTATCCCACGGGTACCATACATTTTTCCGGGATAAAAAGTAACTTATGTGTTATTCCAGACTATAATCTCTGTGCCAAATTTCATCCACATCCATTCAATCGTTCAGGCGTGATTGGTTAACAAACATCCATCCACCCAAACCTTCGTATTTATAATATTAACGTATTGAATGGTTTTACGTATTCTATAATAGTATTCTATATAGTTTAAAGACATTTCGCATTCTGTAATATTTTTTTTAAATATTCATCTATACTACCTAATAATTAATATAATCTAATACCTAATAATTAATATAATAAAAAGAGGTAAAGTTTGTGAATTGTGAGTTTGTGAGTTTGTAAAGTTGTAGGGGGTAATCTCTGGATCTACTGAACCGATTTAGTTGAAATTGGGTAAAAACATAGTTTGAGACCCTGGGAAGGACATGGAATAATTTTTATCCCGGAAATCATCCCTTAAGGGGGTGAAAACGGGGATGAAAGTTTGTATGGGGAATCAACCTAGGGACGAACCCGAGCAAAGCGAGGGTGAGTCGCTAGTATTGTAATATACTACATTATAAATAGATTAAAATAATTGTATAATGAATTAAAATATCAATGATCATCCTTATTTTAAAAAGACGAAATGGAAACGATTATGAAGCCGATTTTCAATATGAATAAAATAAAGTTAACATTTTGCAGCGGTAGTTCCAACAGGTTTGATATCCGCTCACGACAAACGCTTGTGGAAGTGCTGATATTGCTTCCGCTTTAACTCGTACTGCTCTTTTATGTTTGTTCGTGAATACATTTCTTCAAACTTAATCCCCTGTGGGATAAACAGAGGACTGCAGAGTGTCAATCAACTCGACTCCGTACTTTTTCTTCATAGTCGTCATCCCCTCATAAACCGCCTAGAAAGTCTTCATGTTTTTCATATGACAGTCCTTGTGTTTATTGAATACTTGCTCTTTAAAGGGTAATTTGAAGCTCTTCTTAATAATTTCCATTTTGGCATAGATAAAATGAATATCAACCTTACAAATAAACTTCTAACCGTATAAAACTGTATACAAAATGGAAATTACATAAAATTAATAATAATAATTGAATTTTTGTATTCCAAAATAACGGAACTAGTATAAAAACCAAGATCTAATTTCCTTAGAATGTTAATTAAAAATATCTCATTTATACCACCATCACCCGCCTATTAACCCTTAATTGTAATTTTTTCCCCGAATCGCTTTCTCTAATACTTTATTAACTTTCGCAATACAAATTATGCGGAACCCACAAACTTTCTGGCAGCAAATTATACTAATTGATAAACTGGTATTAAGTTCATTCCAACACTTTTATTTCGTTATTTATAGTGGATTCGAGTTGTAAAACTCTATAAAGCCGTTTCTAAGTAACTTGATCGCAGACTACATTAATTAATAATATATCCGTTTTTTTAATATTATAAATGTGAAAGTTTGTGAGTATGTATGGATGTTTGTCACTCTTTCACGCCAGAACGGCTGAACGGATCTGGATAAAATTTGGCGCAGAGATAGATTATAGTCTGGAATAACACTTTTAAACCCGGAAAAATCTACGATTCCCGTGGGATAGGTTTGTTTTTGTTTTACTAGAGGTGAACCCGAGCGAAGCGAGGGTGAGCCGCTAATGTATTTATATTTGTTTAATTCTGAAATTAATCAATATAATTTATGTTTAAGTGTGACATTTTAAAATCCAATTACAAATAGTCATAAAATCCACAATAATGTATCGTATAGGTACTCTATATTTATAGACTTCAAAATAAATAGCAGTTACTTGTCGTTATATAAACATCCGTTTCGGCTCTTAAGATTGAGATAAGTAAGTAAAAATAACAGTTTTGTACTAAGTGTATATTAAATTATATACGGTACTTATAAGAAAAACACAATTAATAAAAAAATTGTCTGTCTGTCTGATTGTTCCGATTAATCTCCTAAAGATACGAGTAGCTTATGTTATACAAAAAACCAAATACATAAAACACTTAGATTACTTTTATTTTAGAAAAAGTATTAAGGTTCCGCTCAAAAAAATAAAACGTACCTAGGGACGCACCCGGGCGAAGAGATAGTAAGTCCCTTGTATTAAAATTAAAAACTTATAATCTAAGATATTATTTATTATCTAAGATATTTTTTAATATAGGTATAACGTTTTGTAGGTCTATTCGTAAATATTTTTTTCTATTGAGAGCAACATAGCTTGTGGTAAACACACAAAACATTTTATTTTCATTAGCGTAAATCAAAACTTAGCGCTAGTTGATTAGTTTCTATTGCTAAGATTTATGAGATTTGTTAGATTACACGCGAGTGGAATAGGAATTATTACTGCATTTGAATTAAGCATGTTGAGCTGCACAGTTGCATAACACTCGCGTAAATACATTTTTAAAGTTTCGAATTTCGATATTCGTTAAATTAAGAGTGACTAAGTGTTAAATAGTTTTTTAAGTTTTAAAATTAATATATATGTTAGTTTTTAAGTTATTTATGTTATTGGCCTCTGCTTACACATTTAAGATCATTTTGTAAATATTGCCTGAAATAAACGATTAAATTAAATTTAAAAAATACATAGATACTATTTACATGACTAGCGGCTCACCCTCGCTTCGCTCGGGTTCGTCGCTAGCTACGTTTTGAATAGATATAAATAGTTATTAGCCAGCGTTAACCATATAAATTTTAATTTTTTTTTGTTAATATTATTGACAAATATTGACATTAATATTTATACGATATTAACGTCACTCAATTGTTTTGCCTTCCCGGAACCTCTCCACTAACACTTAAACTTTAAAGTTCAAATTGACTTTTAAGTATTATTACGAATCTTTTGTATGGGAGTATAGAAAAGTGTTGTTTTTAGACTTTTCAGGCAATTTTTAAATTTTTTCTTTCCGTAAGAACCATCCTCGTAGATCAAGGAATATTCTAAAATGAAAATTAGCGAAATCAGTTCAGCTGCTTTCGAGATTTGCACTTACCAACACATTCAGCGATTCATTTTTATATTATAAGATATTGCATACCTACCTTCATGTTTCATCCCTTGGGTTCCTCTTCTTGGTTGGAGAAAGAGAATCATTATTTTTATAATATTAGATAATAGATATTTATCAAAAAAAATTGCAAAGTAAACAGTTACGCTATAAATAAATACATTTACTTAGTCGTAACAATCACAATTCACAATACATGAAATATTACATATATTTATTTATAGGAGAAATATATTTAAATTGTAAAGAGTACAAAAATTACCAGTGACCAATATTTTGGACTACTATTATAAATGTGCATGCATGTGTGTGAGTGCGCGCGCCTGCGCGTGTTTGTGTGCCTGTGTGTGTGTGTGTGTGTGTGTGTGTGTGTGTGTGTGTGTGTGTGTGTACGCGCACGCGCGTACGTACGTACGTAGTGTTGTTAGCACACAGATAAAATGAACTTGAAATAACATAGGGACGCACCCAAACGAAATATGTAAGTTGGTAAGTTTTTAATAAAACATCGAAAAGTAACAAAAAAATATTGAAAATGTTGTAAAATTTAATAAAAACAAATAGACATTCGGGGTTCATACCATTGAAGCAGTGAAACATTCCTGTAAGCCACCATTCATTCCTCGAATAGCTTTTCAGTCGATCTATTTAAAGGCTTGGTCGGGGGCTGAAAAATAGCACCGTATTTCATAGGTATTCTGGTTGACTGTACACGACTCAGTTCTGCTTTTGACGTCAGTATTCTTTTCTTACATTATTTTCCTTTGTCGGTTGGATATCTTTTCCTTCTGTGAGCCACATAAAGTGTTCAATGTAAAATTTTGAAATAGATTTATGTGTACTAAAATATCTGTAGGTATATTCATTTGCAGTGGAATAGATAAGTTTTTATAATACCGGAGATAAAAACAAATAAAACCAACTATAAATTTAGAGAAACTTATTAATTTAGGCTTTGTTTTGGTTGGGTTATTAATATCTCAAAAATGCACTAAGCGACCATGACATTGAATGAAAATGCGCCCACGACTAACAGGCAACTGGTATACTGATGTTGCCTGTTGGTCACACGACTAGAATGTTAAGAGCTTCCGGCTTCCTACTATCTTTAGACGAAGCTATTAGCCGATCATTTAGTCGGATTGAGTTAATCAGTAGATATATAATATACTTATTACACATACAGATCTCACACAGAATGATTACTGATGAACAGCTATTGGTTGACTGGTATATCAACTGAGAGCTGTTATAGCCTAAACTTTTTGTCATTTATATAAAATGCTTAGATTAAAAAATAATTAAATAATTTTGAAACATTTCAAATAAATGTTATTATTATTTTAATAATAATAACCTTATTATTATATCCATGCTGTCTAAATTTAACCATTTATCTGTTCTTCTTTTTTATTTATGATTGTATCACACCTAACTTCGTCTACGTATGATAATAAATTAAATCTTGTTCGCGAGGTACTTCTAAATTGAGCACAAGTGTGGTCTATTGTGCAACCAGACTTAGACTTCTGAATTTTATTTGCCGTACACTACAGTCTTATTTTTGGTCACAAACAATTAATTAATAAATAATAAGTTATATTTAAGTACGTATTTTTACTACAATTATATTATATATTTGACATGAATTTACCTTATAAAGCTCAAAAACAATAATAACATTCCCCTGATCCATGTTAAAGTTGTATAAGCTCGCCAATCTCGTTATAGTAAACGGGGACAGTGGGGTGCTATGAATGAAATTAGTAAGCATCGTGGCGAGTTGTTTATTGCATTTAAATGAGGCTTTGCCCATTTGTCCACTTCGCCTCGACGTTAAGGTTTCGGTCATAGTTATCTCATTTGTAAGTCAGTTTAGAATTTACACCGAAACGATTTAAAGTTATTTAGATATGTTGAATTATGATGAAAGCTTTTTATTCAATGTTCGTATATAAGTTGCAAAATGCAAAATTTGCAAACGTTTTTTTAACCTCTTCCTAGTATCCAATTGAGCTTAAACATATACTTAGGTATATGTATCAATAATTATTGTTACTTTCCTTTGGTTAAACTTTATCTTTAAATTGTTTCTAAATACTAATTATTTTTCTATAAGGAATTATTCAAAAGGTTCTAGTATAAAATACAATGTAAGATCATCCTTTATCGATCATCTAGTTACAGAAAAAGTTGCAATTTAAAATGTAGAAAACTTATTTAAATCTAGCATTGCCCGCGGCTCCGCCCGCGTTCAGACGACCAAAAACCAAATTCTTAGGTGTTACATATTAATTAGTATACTCCTACATTGCAGTTTTTGTATTTTTTTTTCAGAAATGAGATATTTTCCCGCGGTAAAAAGTATCCTATATGTTGACCCAGATAACCAGCTATCACCATACCAAATTTCATCAAAATCCCTTCAGTGGTTTTTTGTGATGCGGTAACAGACAGACGAAAATTCTAAAAACTATAAATTCGATCTCTATATCGATAATAATGTGTATTTCAATAAGATTTTCCAAAAAATATTTAATGTACAGATTCGGCTAAGTTACAATTTTATTATATGTATAGATTACTAAGTGGGCATAAAGAGTTTTAATTATTAATTATTTCTGTTTATTCCACTTTTCAAATTTCGCAGTCGAACAATATTAAACATTTAATATACCTTCCGGCGACAGCACTTTGTAGATATACTAGACCACAGTAGACCATTGCGACGGTTTAATTTATACGAGTATGTGCACATAAAATTACTTGTCCTGAGTCATTGACGCGCAGGCTTAAACGCTGGACTGAAAAAGCAAATATTTTAACATTAGTGTATAGTGTATACTGTCGTGAATATTAATAATTCATCCCATCTAATGTTTCTCTGCTATACATAATGGTCCTCTCAATAAGAGGGGGATCAGGCCATAATTCATAACGATCAAACGTAGGCTGGTGGACTTAACACGTTTTTCCAATATTAATTAGGTTCTGAGTTCTCTCAGACATGCAGATTTCTTAATGATGTTTTCAAGATGGTTTGAAGTTTGAAGTGAAGACGCTTCAGTTTCTTTTCAAAAGGAGCGCATTGCCAATGGGTTTCTAATGTTCCCCAAATTCATTTTGTTAGTTTTATTTATAAGTAAAATGTATGTTATCTATACATATAATAAAATTGTAACTAAGTCGAATCTGTACATGAAATATTTTTTTGGAAAATCTAATTAAAATAGACATTATTATCGATACATTCTATAGATTTTAGAATTTATGTCTGTCTTTCTGTCTGTCTGTCTGTTACCGCATCACGAGAAAGCCACTGGACAGATTTTGATAAAATATTGTATGATGATAGCTGTTTATCCGGGTTAACATATAGGATACTTTTTACCGCAGGAAAATGTTACATTTCTGCGAAAAAATACATAAACTGCATTGTAAGAGTATACTAATATGTAAAACCTAAGAATTTAGTTTTTGGTCATTTGAAAGCGGACGGAGCCGCGGGCAATGCTAGTGTAATATAATAGTAAAGTTTAGTTACGAAATATAAGTGAAAACCGCAAAGAATAATTAATGAAAATATCTATTGCAGGTCTAAAAACTATCATCAATGCACTACTCCATTCCTTTAAGCAACTAGCAGAGGTAATGACGCTGACAATCTTTTGCCTCATGGTATTTGCATTGTTTGCATTACAAGTGTACATGGGAGAGCTTCGGAACAAATGCGTGCAAGATCTAGTCGTTTCGCCTGGAGAGAATTTTACTGATGAATTATGGATAAAGTATGTTTCTTATATAAATTTTCCAATCTTTTTCCCTTAAGAAGATTTCTTTTAAAGTATAAGTCATTAATTTTTAAATAACATATTTTTTTCCTTATGCTTGAATTTTTATTCGAAATGAGTAAATAAATATAAAATAAAAGCGAATAAATAAATATAATACAAGAATAAATAAAAGCGAATAAATAAATATATATTTATTTATTCGCTTGAGAATATTGCTTCTTTACCAATACTGAAATATTAAAGTAAAATGGGATATTACTTTTCCTTTCAGCGCGGCTTCTGAATTTTTCAGTGTGATAATGTATTTATAATAACATAATTATAAGCCAAAAATAAAATGTTTATTATATAATATTGTCACATCTTCCCCTAGCGCGTCTTAAAATCTTCAATAAAGAACAAAATTTAATAAACGCCTCAGTTTTTATTACTAGAAACATGCAATTTTTTATCCAATACATCATAATATTTTTTTGAAAGCTCTACATTCATGAATTCAACCATTACATTTTTAGTTGGATCAGCAATTCGTCTCATTGGATGGTGGATGATGAAGAAGTACCTATTATCTGCGGTAACCTGACCGGCGCGAGGCACTGTCCGCCGCAGTTCACTTGCCTGTGTGTTGGGCCCAATCCTAACCATGGGTATACAAACTTTGACAACTTCCTATGGTCAATGCTCACCACCTTCCAACTCATCACTTTGGACTATTGGGAAAATGTTTACAATATGGTAAGAAATACATATTAAAACCCTAATTTTTCAATTGCAGCTGGCTTGGATAGTATATCAATAAAATAGTCTATGTTATTCAGAGATATAATACAAATATTATTTTTTGCACACCACAAATTAACATGACATAAATAGATGCAAGAAATAATACCACAACTCTTCCAGGCAACCTTTGGGCAGAGAGAAAGTAAAAGATCGGGAAAAGAGTTTCCACAAAATAAAAGAGAAAAGTATCTACTTGTAAAAAATCCATTCATCCTACAGATTGACATACAAATAAACTATTACATCTATTATGCTGAGGAGATAAATAACAATGTCTTGAGTCCGAAATAGTTGTTTATTGCCAACCGATACTACGCGATTAGCGAGAGATTGACTACTAACGTTTTCATTACCATAACTTGTTGAAGCCCACAAAACAATAATATTTATAGTATAATTGGAATATAAATATATATAGGTACTATGTACAAATTATAGCAGTACATGTAATTATATATTTACTAATTGGTGCTTAAGAGGAGAGTAAACAAAAGTGTAAACTAGTAGAACAAATACGAGCTATGAAATTGTACAATGTACAATGTTTAATTGTGACAATATTGAATTTTATATGGTGTAGTAATTAACAAAATATTTGTTCATGGCGGTTCTCATAACGCCCGACACAGTTAGTATCAATATATAATAAAATACAATGTACAACTAACAATTTTAACAAAAATTAGCACATCACAATATATTTTGTCTTTGTTCTAGCTACTTATTCTCATTATGTTCGGGTGCGTCCCCTAATAACAGTATCCTATGGCTTACTCCGGTTCTTAGCCTATCTGTTTGTACTGTGCACTATATAAATCCGTTCAGCGCGAGCACATACACACACGCAGGTACGCACGTACCCACGCACACATGCACTCACGCACTTGCACACATACATGCACACTAACACATATACTATATAGCGGCTCACCCTCGCTTCACTCGGGTTCACCTCTAGAAAAACAAAAACAAATCTATCCCACGGGAACCGTACATTTTTCCGGGATAAAAAGTAACATATATACTATTCCAGACTAAAATCTATCTCTGTGGCAAATTTCATCAAGATTCGTTCAACTGTTCACATCAATTCAACCATCCTCACAAACTTTCACATTCATTAAATGTGTGTGTATTAGTTGTATTAGTAGGATATAGTTTGATATTCAAACTATTGAAATTATAACTTACTAGTTCAAAGGGACTTCGTAGCCAACTTCCCTGGAATTAACTTGGACTTTATTAACTACTTATAATTTAATTAGCCGGTATAGGAAGTGAATTCAGTGTAATGTAATCTTGGTAGACGATTTTATTCTACTTCTTACCTATTACACTTCTCGTAGCCTTATCAGTTTGAACCCTTTTATGAGAAATACCAGTATCAATAGAATAATTTGATAACATCGAGCTGATATGTTGATCAGAATTCCAGAATCCAGACGATTCTGGAATTTATCAATGACTAGCGACAATGTAACACCTCAGTCTCTCCCGTGACCATGGATGCTGTAAAGCATTCGAAACGTCGGGAACTAAAAATCAAAATAAATCCGCGAAATAATCCGAAAAGATAGTTTTATTTAAAAATGACCATGAGCTTGATACCCCATACAAACCTTCATTCCCATTTTCACCCCTTTAAGTGATGATTTCCGGAATAAAAAGTATCCTATGTTCTTCCCAGGGTCCCAAACTATCTTCTTACCAATTTTCATCTAAATCGGTTCAGTAAATCCATTACCCCCTACAACGTCACAAACTCACAAACTCACAAACTTAACCTCTTTATAATATTAGTATAGATTACTGACCCTTTCCAGTGTGGGTTTATTCTATTTGTGTTGAGTCTCATGCATTACAGGAGGTTGATCAACGGTCTTGTTTTTATTTTTTTAAATTATTATCTATTATTAAGCTTTGTAGTAGTCTGTGCAGTCATTTTCGAGAATTAAATCAGATTAAAGTTCTAAAATAGGCTTTTGTAAGCTATTATGACATTTTAAATATCTCTGACGTAAAATGAAAAACATTATAGGTATTATACTCGTATCTATACAGATACATTTATATCTCTTTAATATTAAATGTTTAAAGTTATATTTTACGACTATTGTATGAGAGAAACCAACGCTGTTAACTCAAACTATTATTCTGGCTAGATAGAATTATATAGGTATATTTGAACGTATCTTCTATTGGGCTGGAGCCCGCCCTACCATAACAAAGCTTTGTAACTGCGTATGATATCCTTGAGACCTCTGTAAATTAATTAAAGATGCCGGTAAAAGGGTATTTACTTTATGTAATATACGTTAATACTAAGTCAATACTGTTTGAAAACTCAAAACAATGATAGTGCCAATATTTCGTTATTAAATTATTTTTAGTTATTAAAACTTTTTTTTAATAAATAACTGTTACGATTTTACTTTAAAGTGATAGGTTATAAAAAAATAATTACCTTATTGATATAAAAAATTAAAGAGTCTTGCATGAATGTGTACACGTGCAAGAACTAAAACTTCTGTAAAAGTAAAACTTCTGTAAATTCAATTTATGTTTTAAATAATTAGAATAGGTAAGATACTAAAAAAACGTGAGAGTGTACTTATGTACCTACGCACGTAAGAAGTTGTACTTTTTTGGCGTAATAGAACAAAAGTAGCTAAAGTAGTATATATGTTGGTGATTAATGTATTATGCGGGCGGAGCCGCAGGAAAACGCTAGTCTATACTTAATATTAGAAAGAGGTAAAGTTTGTGAGTTTGTGACGTTGTAGGGGGTAATCTCTGGATCTACTGAACCAATTTAGATGAAATTTGGTAAGAAGATAGTTTGAGGCCCTGTGACGGACATAGGATACTTTTTATCCCGGAAATCATCATATATCATCCTATAGTATTATCTACATGTGTGAAAATGGGGATGAAAGTTTGTATGGGGAATTAAGCTAGGGACGAACCCGAGCGAAGCGAGGGTGAGTAGCTAGAATAATATAATTTATATAAATGTATAGATATATTTACGTTATTGACGCTCTAATTAAACACCCCAAATCCTTTAAAATGTCTCATAGGATTTTAGATTCATTTCATACATAATCGTACGTACTACGTTTACTGAGGCTTGCCTTATACTTACTCAGCGAATCAAAATTATTTATTTCTTGAATATCTTATATGTAGAAACTCATAAATTTTACTTTAAAGTTATAAATTATTCTTTGTGTATTTAAATACTATACCATAAAGCATGATGTTACGAGAAGGTAGTACATGTAATATATACGTCACCGCAACCTCTCGTAATAGATGCGTCAACATCGGTTATCCTATCAATTCTCTCTACAATAGAGTCTGATTTACAACACACCACTGATTTATGGAGCTAACCGTACGTAAGTATTGAGCTTACATTATTATTTATAGTTAGTTGTGTTTGTTCTATATTTTTATGTGTGTTGTAGTCCGTTTTAGTCATTTTTTTAAATTCCTTTAATTAAAATGTATTTATATTAATGTACTAGCGACTCACCTTAGGTAAGTTCATCCCTAGGTGATTCTTTACATTGACATAACTTTTTTATTTATTAACCGATTGAAATAAAACAAATACTAAATGTTAAGTGAAGTTTACCACAATAAATAAGTAAAAATTGCAACCAAATCGGTTAAGCCGTTTCTGAGATTAACGCGCACAAACGCACAGACAAACAGAGAAAAATTCTAAAAATAAGTGTTTTGGGTTCTATTGCATTAATAAAGACCCCCCAATAATAGTTTTTCTCAAATTTCTTCCATATACGGACACCGATTTCTTACAATTTTATAATATGTATAGATTAATTAAATTTTCTATGCCATGGAAAAGTTTCTCTTTGTCTCGAATTAAAGCTATATCATATTCAACCATATCTTCTTCTCTCTAGCGAAAATCCATTTACAATCAATATATACAGTGGGTACACAGACAGGTACATAGAATATCATGAATTGGATTATTGATTGATTGGATTATTGATTAAAAATTGGACTCAGGTATGCAAATCGCTGTATTGAATCTTTATGAGATAGTATCTTTGAAATTACAGAAAGATTGTAATTTTGTACTAAAGTATTGATCGCTTACTCGAAGTGTAAGAAGTAACTTTTGTGTTTAAGGCAAATTGGAACTGCGATATCCGGTTTATTACGGTTTGAACTAGATATTCTGGTATATTATATGGATTAACTATTTACAACATATCTACGACTTCTGTCATAACTTAAAAAAAATATAACTGTAGTGCTACTATAGTACTGTATGTAACCCTCTTCCACGCAAGTCCGATTGGTGCTTTAAAAAATTACCTTTCAATTTCCTGCTTATTATTTTTAGTGATGATGTTCTCCTAGCCGATTCCGGCGACGGCGGCCAATCTCATTGAGATTAGCCAACTGCGCAGGAGATATTATAGTACACACACTTGTGCAGACACAAGTGCACTCTCTATTCCTATCACTCATACATACTCCGGTGGGACGACCACTCGACACGACCGGTGAGAGCTAAGGCGCAGGACCGACGGCTTTACGTGCTCTCCGAGGCACGGGGGTGAGACACAGCTATTTCCCAACTCCGGGCTGTTACTGAGGCTTACTATACAGAAAGACTCAATAACTTAACTTGGCCCGACCCGGGACTCGAACCCAGGACCTCCGGGTGTGCAGGCATACATCCTAGCCACTACACCACCGAGGCAATTAAATATTATATGAAAAAGGAATTTTTTTGATCTTTTATTTGGTAATGAACTTCGTAGCAAAAAAGTAAAGCTTCTTGTGATGAATATGTAAAGAACATAAATCTTACGCTTTACGTTGGTTCCCTCAAGTTTTTATATAAGACCGCCCCTCGAGTAAATTGTGACTCATAATCTAAAAAGTAATTGACTTTTATTTTAATTATTTAATGAGTCACAAATATTTTTTTCAACCAACCAAATACCCAAAGATGAAATAAATTTCAGAATGATACTCAACTCGGACGTAGTTTTTGTGGGAGTATTTTTTGTCGATCTTTTTCGTGGAATGATTACGGTTTTAGGTTAATGAAGTATTTTCATTTTTACGACTCGAAACAATATTACAAATTTCAACTTTAGTTAGTTTTTATTGAAATCAATTAGCTTTATAAAATTCATGTAATACAGATTTTTCTTTTTTCCTACTTAAGCGTAAATACAATTACTACTTAAGCGTATTTACTACTTAAGCGTATAATCTACTTGTCATTGCAAAATGATTCGAAATTATAGTAAAAAAAAATTGTCAATAATAACGACTTGTTTGACACTTTACATAACACCGTTACGTACGCCATAACTGCTTTAGATGTATATTGTGTGGTTGAAACCTAAAAAAAACTTTTTTCTCTGAAGGGCTCGTCATAGAGTTAATTCGTCACTAGGTCGTACGTAAGCACAAGAGACACTCTCTCATTGTCAGTGTAGGAATATAATATGAATCTATAAGTTATCTTATATATATATATATATATATATATATATATATATATATATATATATATCTTACTGATATTACTGTTACGTACTAATGAATGAACTGTACTGTGACTCTCAGTGATTATCAGCAATAGATTTTTTTTATTTACTTTTGTCCCAAGACAAAAATTAGTATAATGTATTCCTGACCGATTCCGGTCACGGCGTTTAAGCATTGCTCAACAACACCCTCCTGCGCATATATGTACCTATATACTATACATACATATTACGTTATTGTATGAGCGTGTTTGCATACAAATGTATTATTTGTTCCTTTAATCTTATAGTCCGATGGGAGGGTAATTCGATAAAACTTGTAAGTGATCAGGCCCGACTGCTTTCCGTGATTTCCGAGGCACCCTTTGGGGGTAAAAGATCGCCAGCTTCTCATCACCGGGCGGTCACTGAATATTTCTTAACAAAAAACCTAGTGATTCTACTTGGTCCCCGGGAATCAAACCCAGAATCTTCGCAGCGACTTTCTTTCTCCGTAGCAACGCGAGATATAACGAGGCAAATAAAGTAAGATTATAGATTCTTTGCAAAAAACACCGTCAATTCAATGTTGCATAAAGAAAAGCAAAACAAAGGTACGTTTCGAGCTAATGACAGTATCTAGATGTGTTACTACGTTAAGTAATAGAAATTTTTCCAAATAGCTTTCTCAACTAGAATAAGAAACTAATAGTAACTAAGCGCTAACAATGAAGTAGATAATTCAATTAACATACGAACGAAGCGTATCCTTCGATATAATTAAACTTAACTTTTTTACGAACAAAGTTAGCGCTAGTGTATTCTTTTATTCAAAATTATAACTTTTGGGAGAAGATAATATACTGTAGGGTTTATTTTTCATTTAAAATGCAACTCTTTTTTCGTATTTACGCGGTTTTGTTTTGTTTTTTTTTTTCGACATTTTGAATTCTTTTTTTTTTTGGTTAAAATATCCACTTATAGACATACCTAAAATATAAAATTAAAAAGCCAACATATAGCTATTGATCTTAGCAGTAGACTGCTAAGATCAATAGCTATATGTTGCTGTTTGTTGTATATACTATTTAATTCTACAATGTACAAATAGGTATAGCGTGAAGATAGCTCATGTAGTTTAGCAATTTAGCAAAATTGCCACGATAATTATACAGTTACAAATTTGGCAAATACTTATTGACCTTTAACCTTTACAAAAAAAAAATTACATAAAATATTTTTTTATTTAAATTTATTTAATTATATTTTTTTAACACACAGCAGCATCTAGTTCCATGGTAAGCTACGAAGTTTGTGTTATGGATACCAGATAGTTGATACACTACACATATATAACTTTAAATACATACATATATACATAAATATAAACACCCATGACTAGAGTACAAACATTCGTGCTCATCACATAAATGAACGCCCCCAGCGGGACTCGAACCCGCGACCACAGCAAGTAGGGTCGCTACAAACTGAGCCAAACGTGTCGTCAAATGAAAGCTATCAAATGACTATAATACAGAATAAAAGCTAATGTAGTTAAATTGATACTGTTTATAGGAGTTCAAAATCGTCGAACGCGTAATCGGTCATAATTCCGGTTTCATGTATATGGCGATTAATTTACATATACATTCGTAATATATGATTAAGGCAACATAAGTTACGAGGGGAGTCCCCGAGTTGGCACCGATGCAAACATGTTAATAGCTTTAGCGAACTGAGTCTGTTAAGGAAATATATCGTACATTGTGTTATTTAAATCACTTTCCTCGCTTGCGTGTTTTCAATGTCTTTATTGATTTAGCGACAACCCTCCCTTGTCTCTAGATTGTCTATCTATCATATTAATTTCATCTAAATTGGTCCATCCATTTCAGCTTGGAGAAGTAACAAATATATATCCATACATATAAACTTTCGCAAATATAATTGTAGAAAATCAATTATAAGAAAACAGAAAGTTTAACAACGTTTATTGGCCGGTAATATAATACTTTTTACAGTGACATGGAACATGACAATTTTTAAATAGAGAAAGAAATACACAAGTTAACAAAGAGGTTGGAACTGTTCATGTAGAAAATTACAATTAAATATTTTATATTTACTATTCCAACTATAATATTAGTGTAATGATTGAATATACATAGTAGCGGACTTAGGCATGTGAGGCCCAGGCCTAGGGCGGTAAATTTTGAGGGGCGCCAAAGTTTTTAAGACGGCTAAAATTAAAAATCGATTGGGTTTTATGTAAACTGTAAGACCAAATTTTAAAGTTTATTTTCTTGCGCTCTTACAATCTAAACATAATACCATTTCAAGGGTAGAATTCCTTTGTTTAAATAAATTATTAATCTACATATATATACTGTTATGAAAGAAATAGAGCGCTATATCAAATTGGGCCTAAGGCGCCATCGAACCTAAATCCACTACTTTATGTACACTAATGGAAGTAACTATTTTTTATGCACATTTCATATAACACCTATAGACTTCGATAAATATATAGACTAATACTTGGGAAAATCACTTAATACTTGATTAAACAAAACATGGAAAAAATATACTAAGCTAAACTATATTTTTCTATCAATATTAATTTTAATTTACTTACAACTTTTAGTGTAAAATCGGCGACATAATAAATATATTTTGATTTTGGGTCCCGACCTTTTGAATGCTCTACATTTTACAGCATAACATAGTCACGGCGAAACGTCGGAAATCGAACATCAAAATAAATTAAAAATCCGCAATTAAATATGGTAATACTCCAGATATTCTGGCGCACGAGGCGATATCCGCTTTATACGCAAATGTAAAATTACGTAAGCTTATCTAATTTAAGTTCATGTGTTAGAATGATTTTAATGACCACGACAAATAAAAAATATCTATGTTATCACTCGGATCCGGGAAATAAATATTAATCAAGATAATCAGATGAAGCGACGAGCATAAGTCCTCATCCCAAAATTCCACGTAAACTCGATAAAAATATTTGCCTACTGAGCGTTATTTTTATATTATTAAGTTACTCCGTTACAGGGAATTCTTCGGCAAAATTACACCTTCGTTACCAACTTGGCTATGTCTAATTCTAAAGTTTTTATCGTATTATTTAATTCCGTATATATATGATGTTTGGTGTAGACGTAATAAGTAGGTTTTTTTAAAAACATATTCGAATAAGCAATTTATTTAAAAAATATATTTATTGTTGATTTTTTTTAAAACAGTTTTATAGGACCACCTGGGAAGTATATCCTTTGAAACAAAAATATATATATCCAAATCGGTTCAGGCGTCCTCGATTAATCAGTGAACATACATTAAAAAAAGATTCCGACGAATTGAAAACCTCCTCCTTTTTGGAAGTCGGTTAATGATATTGAAACAAATAAGTATAATTATTAATTTAACAAGAATTATACACAAATTTTAAACATATTTATATTATAACTAGCGACTCACCTTCGCCCCGCTCGGGTTCGTACTTAGTTACGTTTTAAGGTTTAGTATAGATTTCCCAGAGATGAGATATTTTCACGCAGTAAAAAGTATCCTATATGTTGACCTGGATAACCAGTTGTCATCATACCAAATTTCATCAAAATCCCTTCAGTGGTTTTTCCGTGATGCAGTCACAGACAGATACACAAACAGACAAAAATTCTAAAAACTATAAATTCGGCCTCTGTATCGATAATAACGACTATTTCAATAAGATTTTCAAAAAAATATGTAATTTACAGTTTCAACTCAGAATTTTATTATATGTATAGATTATACTACAATTTCTCTGTACTGTTAAAACCTGTGGTTTTGTGTCATGTTCAAGTTAAACGTCATGCCAGCTATAGCGCGAATAGTGCATATTATGGGCCACAAAATGACATAAGCGATAATAAATTATATTACGTTGAACCTGTGAATATTATAATCCCATACACATTCTATGATCCACAAGCGTGTTTCTCATGTCATAAGACTTAATTTTAAATGTACAGGCTTGACAATCATTCCAAATATAGTAATTTATATATGAAAATGAATAAAGTTCATTTTTTAAATTGAATATTGTTTATTTAAAAAAAACGCTAAAACACAATTAAATAAGTATTAATTAAACTATATTTTTCTACTTTATAATTTAAGTTCGTATTAAAACTAATTAAAACTAAAAGTTTCATACGTACGTTATAATGTATAGGTACCTCTAGATAAGTTAAAAATGTTTATATATATAAAGTATCTATCTATCTTTTGTTACAGGTACTATCGTCTTGTGGACCAATGTCGGTGTCGTTTTTCACCGTGGTTGTGTTTTTTGGATCATTCTACCTCATCAACTTGATGCTAGCCGTCGTAGCACTCAGCTACGAAGAAGAATCGCAAATAACGCAGGAGGTAAACTAACTAACAAGACTTATTAAATATTATTCGTTCTCATACATCTATGTTGTACAGAAAAAAAATCAAAGGAATCATCGAATATAACATTATTTTTATATAAAATAGGAATATACTTACAATTAATATGAAAATGCAAAAAGCTAAGTAAATAATGAAAAAACAAATAAAGGCTCTTAATATTTTGTCCTGAAATATTTTTTATCGAATGTAAATCATTTTTTAAAATTAAACTAACATATAAATACATTTTTTTTAATCAAAATGAAGCTTAATGAAAGCACTTAATTATATTTTACATCGAATTCAAAATAATGATCTGAACTCGTAGTACTCTTGAAACAGAATGCGAGTGTAAATCTGAATGAAATATCGTAGTATTTGCAAAATATGTCACTAGAACCACGTAGTACCTACCGCTGTAACGATGTACTACGTGCTATGAGTGAACGAAAACTAACGGGTGATTTGCCGCAACAAATTGCCTCACTCCTGACTCCCATCCGTATCTCGTTGAGATTTATAGACCCATCAATTTTGCATTTTACTGACCATTCTTACAAGCAAAAATTAAGGAATTTAACTATGCACATATATGGAATCGACACTAATAGGTATTATAAAGAGGTAAAGTTTTAAGTTTGCAAGTTTGTTTGTATCTAATGGATAAACTAAAAATCTGCTGATCGATTTAGGTGTAATTTAGTGTGAAGATAGTTTGAGACCTTGGGAAGGACATATGATAGTTTATATCCTGAAAATCATCCCTCAGGGGGGGGGATAAAAATAGAGATGAGAGTTTATATAAATTCAATAATTTCTCAAGTAAAGGATATAAAACTCATCATACATATGTATTACTAGTATAATATAGTCTATCTATTCCATACTAACAATTAAAACTTACCTAGGAACGAACCCGAACGAAGCGAGGGTGAGTCGCTAGTAATTAATAAATAGTTTCTGTTAAGGCAGAATATAATGGTCACTGAAGTTAGTTTCTCATATAATTTGATTGATGATCTAGACTCCTAGGGACTAATTAATGAATCTTGGTATATCTTCTAACCTAAATAATTTATATATTTAAACTAAATACAATTCAATGTTTTTAATATTACAATTGAGCTGTTTATCATATTCTAATCATAGATAGATAATAATTCAAAATCCGAATATTCTCAATTCATCATCGAAATTGCTTTCAGCAACAATATTGGCAAACATTATTTACGTTCAATAAATCACAAATTTTAGCGTTAATTTACATTGTGCGTATATGCAATTTGTTCATTTGTTTAAAGTCCATAATTCTTTGTTCAATACCTAGTACCTGGGCCACCGAGCTTCGCTCGGTGTTTTTGGTCAGAAGTACAATTTTCTTTTAATAAAAAACTAAAAACTTGAATAAATACAAAAAAAATATACCTTTGTATTCGACCAGGTTTCGAACCCGGAAACACGAGTTTTCCGAGACATAAGACTAATCTAGATTGATTTATCGCCCCCAAAACCCCGTGTGTACTAAATTTCATGAAAATCGTTGGAGCCGTTTCCGAGATTCAGATTATATATATATACAAGAATTGCTCGTTTAAATATATAAGATAAGATATTCACAGTGTAACATATAAATAATATTTCATGGGAATTTGATGCGTTATATAATAGGACTTTTTTATCATCACAAAAAGAATAAATTAAATTAATCCAACACTTTTCTTAACTAGGAAAGGAAGAAAGATCTTAACGAACATCGTGACGATTCAACATTTAGCTTCGATCCCACCTCTCTGGCAGTGAGGACGTTAGCCAGGGACTCCAAAAAACGGATCGATGCAAGAAAAGGATTATTACTTGCCTCGTACTCCAGAAAACGTACACGAAGACGCAAACGGGGAAAAAGCACTATACATCACACTAACACAGTGACTGTGACTGAGAGGTATGTTTAAATACATATTATATGTATAGCTGGAAGCCTTTTTGTTCTAGCTTAAAATGATCTTATATTCGACTAATCACTTATATCTTCTTTATGCTACACGCAAGTTACTATTTTTATATTGTAAGGTCAACATGTCTCAATAAAAGTAAAAACTAGCCAAGTCAAATCTTGAACTTCAATTTACCCTAAGCTATCTACTCTGTGTAAATAATTCGACTGTCCAAATTTAAGATCTATTTTTAAATAGTAAACACTTTTGTAGCAAAAAAAAACAATAAATTGTGTTTTAAATTTATTTTAGAATGTTGTTATTTCTTATGAAACAATTTCAGGATTGTAGATAATCCTGAAATTGTTTCCTGAACTTGGCACCCATTTAGATATCAATTATTTTGTCGGTGAAGTTGACAACCACGCATATTCTTAATATTGAACTTGGCTCCCATTTTAACATTTATGTTTTTGATGGAATAATATTTTTTATTGATAACATTAGCTCGTCAAATAGCTACTAAACAAAAAAAGAAAATCGGTTGCCAAATAGCAGAAATGGTATTGAACTATTTTGCCTTTGCCTATTTATATATAGATGTAGATTTTTATAGCACAATCTATCATTTTAAATTTAAACTCTAAAACTACATTATTGCTATTTTTAGTACATACATATTATTTTAAAATTCATTTATTACACTTTCGTTACCTTGATAAGAACTGAAACAAATACATTTGGCACTGTGCCTTACGACAGTTGAAATAAAGATTGGACAGTGGACAGTCCATTTATATTATAAAAGCTTTGTCTCACAGGAAGCCAAGCTTTCAAGGTCTTATTACTAGTAATATGTAATATATTTCAAAAACTAATAAGTTTTATCGTATCTGATAAAATATACTAATAAAACCATACGTAGAAACTTATCGGTCACGTATAAAAGAAGATAGCAAAAAGTTAAATTGGTAAACATTTAAGTAGTAGTTTTTGTTAGATGTTCCATGCTGTTTATAAACATGGTATATTTAATATACGTAAGATAAAATAACTAAATCTAGAGGATTTCTAAAAGCTTCGACCCTCTGTAATTTCTCTTTGGCTTTACCGTTTCCATTGCCTAAATCTACTTGTAATGAATTTACCATTCTGTGACTTTTACTATAACAAATAATACTGTGTGATATATGTTTTTTTTGTTTTAAATAATTCAGGATTACCTTTGGATACTATGGTTTCCAAAAACAAATAATGTTGAATGGCGATGCGAAGACAATTTTATTCTTGGTTTAATTTAATAAGCTAATAAGCACTAATTGTTTTAAACTGTTTTAAAATTATTCTAAGCAAATCATATTTCATCAAAATTGTTTACTAAGAATACACCGTACAATACTTCAGTAAATTTGCACGAAAGCTAAACCTAACATATTGAATATCAAAACTATAAACAATGAACCAAGCCCTTTGAAGCTAGAAAACCACGTGATATAACGTAAATTTATACCAAGTATTAAATTCTAAGAGCGTTCCTCGTAAAAGTAATGGAGCATCGATATTTCCGTTACATTTGAAACATTTTGTTCAATTGAATTGGGTACAGTGTTCCATATAGTTAAGCTTTTACCCTAATAAAATAGAATGATATTAATTCTCATAACACCGAGATTATTTGTATTGGATTGCCAATATTTAATTATCGTAATTTGTTTCATATATTTAATAATATTTTAAGCTTTAGGTATATTCGTAGAAAAAACTTTTCCAAAATTGGTTATTAAAAAGCTCTAACAAAATGTGTAGGAGAGTCGAGCGGAATATAAGAATGACCCAATATCTCTTCATTGTCTGTCAATTGTTTTGTTTTTGTACACTGGGAATTTAAAATAACAAACGACATTTAAACTAACCTGTCAAATAGGACAGCCTTCTCAAGACGACGCGATGGCACTTAGGACTCAACTCTACAGTCGGTTTTTTTAATGATTAATAACAAGCTAAAACTTTCTGAGTAGCTTAATTTTGGCGAGATGCCCAACTATTCTTTCTACGAGTCTTTGATAGTGATAGATGCAATTGTAGCTTCATACGGAACATGTCAAAACGGTGATAGTCTAAAATTTATTACTAACATGTTGTTTTACGAGTAAATAAAAGTAAATCTAGAAATAATCCAACATTAAACAAGCAAAAAATGCTGTCCTACAAAACATGGAGATGGCTTAGACCAAATAGATCTCGGAATTTGTTAAAATTACAACGTCATAAAATTTATTAATAACCGGCTGATTATTATACCATATCATATGCATAATTGAACGATCAAATCGTCCTACAAATAAATGATACGATTTTTCAGTCCTACGCTCAGATTTTGTCGCCCCCATGGTGATACTTTTTTCATTATTCGTTGAAACCAAATAACAATTGAGTAAATCAATTCACAAAAGGCTATGTGATATTTGTTGAGCAAAGTTTGATGTTAGAAATAGATACAATTAGATAGCGCCATAAAGCATTACAAAATAATGTTACGTATACACTACAACCTATTCCCTCAGGTATGAAAGCGTAACACCAATAACAAAATACAAAGCCTACACTGCGTAGTTTAAATATGTAGGAAGGCTTTATAAGTATTTAGATATTTTAGTCACTACTACGTATGGTATAGATATTCACTATGAAATTTTACGTAAATTTATGTCTAGTAAAGAAATAAGTGTTTTTTTTTTAAATAAAAAGGTTTGATATTAGTATATAGGATAGATGTTAATAGATCTAAGAGATACTACAGAGTAACTTTACTGAGCTAAAGTTTGAAAGATGCAAGCTCTAGCCGTTATGTTTTATATTCTCTGCCGTCTGCAGCGACTAACATATAAAGCGGCAGACTTTTATCGACTGATACTATAGTTGGTTTCATCTATACTAATATTATAAAGAGGTAAAGTTTGTGAGCTTGTGACGTTGTAGGGGGTAATCTCTGGATCTGAAATGAACCGATTTAGATGAAATTTGATAAGAAGATAGTTTGAGACTCTGGGAAGGACATAGGATTCTTTTTATTCCGGAAATCATCCCTTAAGGGGGTGAAAATAGGGATGAAAACTAGGGACGAACCCGAGCGAAGCAAGGGTGAGTCGCTAGTAGTTAGTATAAAGGTCGCCTAACTTCTTATCGGTCGGTAAGTATGCTTTAGCGTATAATAATAATCGAAAGTAGAGAAGAATAAGAAAGTCTGTAGTGTGCGGTGGCCCTAATAATGTAAAAACGCCTAACTGCTGCTTTCATATTTCATAACAAGTAATATAATAATTAATATCAATTTTAACAGCCATTTAATAGTTCATACAATAAAACATGACATGAACATTAGTGAAATATCAATATCGTGTAAACATAACAAATACTACAAAAAATACTAAAACATGCCTTTTGATGTTTACATTTTAAAAATAAACGGCGCGCTTTCTATTTATAGATTTTTTATAGATTTTATAGATTTTTTTTTTCTTTTTTAATAACCGATAACAAATTTCCTACATACGACGTATTATGGAGTATCCTGACTGCGTTATCATTTATGCAAAAGTTAAATTTTCATAACTTATTTTGGATACAAATAAAAATAATTAAATAGTGTTACTTTTAATTTAATATTATATTTGGTTGATTACAGCATATCTTGATGGCTAGCGCTAAAATGTATTAAAAAAAATCGGGCATTTTCGAACTAAAGATTCAGTACAACCAAACATTTAAAGTCTTTTTTTTATTTATTAACAGAATATTTATTTTATACGGCAAAAATAAATTTGTTTTTCATAGTATTTCTGAAAGATATTTCTCATAGTTTTCTTACATCATATAACTACCAAATTACAGCTACATACAACCAATAAATAGTCTCCGAATAAAATAACTGTGAGTTGTGACTTACTGACATAAAGAATATATGAAGGTCCCGTTTCTTTTTATGTTTACGGAACCCTAATATAATGTACATCATATGCAGATTAGAATATAGTGAACCTTAATAGAAAATGAGAAAAATCATGAATACTTTTGTGTTTGGTGTTTGGTCAGTATGTCTATACAAACAGCCATGCATATGATGAGTTTGTACGTTGTTGATGAAAAGAAGTGGCAATTTCTTACTCTTTATCTTTTCATACATGCGAATAAGATTATTTGTAACTGATCGACAAATAAAATAATTATCGGTTGCCTACAAGAGATCACTCTTAGTGATAAGGCCGCCATTGCACATCTCTTTAATTGTATAATATATTTTTTTTATGTTAATGTACTATTTTCTTGTGCAATAAAGTGTTATAAATAAAAAAATAAAAAGTAAAATAAGTATATATTATGTATGGTCTATTCGTCCGATAATCGGATGAATAAAAAATATATGAACATATATATTATTCGTCTTACTACTGTTGGTGTGTATGTTGGTGTATATTGCGACTGCGAATAGCCACAGCCTAATAATTAATGAAAGTGATAGTGAAATAAATTAACTTGACTGTTTTTAAAACGAAACTACATATATTTGTTTTTGCGAGTAAGAATATTACATTTATTTTTTATTGAAATAAAATTATTTTGCTTGTTGAATTCTGTATTCTGTGTACACATCTTTTAATAAAGGCGTTAATGATATTTAGCTATTTCTAACACTCCACTATACTGGATTCGCGGGCAAAGACCAATATATCTATTTTTAGAAATGGTCAAAACTAAACAGACACGGTCCCAGTTTAACTAAGCTAACATTTATGAAATATAAAATGCAGAAACCTCATAAACTACAATTAACATAAGTACTACCCCGAACATTTTACGTCATAAACGTCGCAATTGTACGTACTGTGTCATTTTACCATTAAATAGTCATCAGCAGAGTATATGAAGCAAATACATATGTCGTAGGATGATTTGATTATTCGAATTTTCGCAAAATACCTACAAAAGGGATATCGTGAAAACACGGATA